GCCCGCGCACCTGCACCGCACGCCGGCCCCCAAAGTTGACCCTGGAACGGGGGCGAGGGACCCGGATCCACCCTCGCAGGGGAGAGGCGCGGGCTCGCCTGCGTGCACAGGGAACTCCATAGTGGCCCGCGGCTGCCTGTCCGCCTGCTTATTTTTAAACAGACATAAAGAATAATAAGCTCGAGGTTTCTGGCAATCTTGCTTCCCAGGGTGGGAGCCGTGTGCTCCTGCGGGGATTTACGAATTAAACATTTTTTTTTTTTTTTTTGCAACAAAGGAGCCTACTGCACTAAACAGGTTAGAGCAACTATGAAAGGAACAGCAGTTATGTCCAGGTCCAAATGTAAGAATGGGTAGAAGAGAATTGCGTTAAAACTCTTGGTAACCATCAATAAAATTATTGCATTAACTTTGTTACTCACTGCTGTGTGAAATGTCAACAACAAATGTCAAAATGTGAGTATTCAAAATGTTTGTAGCCCAGAAGGGAGACCCACTCAAAAATAGATTCAGGTATCTATCAAAATTTTAAGTCCAGAAATATTAATATGTATGTGCGATGAAGCAAGAAAGGTAAGTATTATATTCCTCAACAGGTGTTGATACTATGCCCAAACTGTGTTTGACAAGCTCAACACAACTGCTGAGGACCATAACATTTCCATTTAAAAGGAAAACGAGAACAAGGCGTGAGACTAACAAAACACAGTAAAAGGGGCAAGGGCCTCTCATACCAAGATTTGTAAATGAGTAAAAATCGAAGTAATACCTACTACTGCTCTGATGTATTGTCACAAAATGATCTGTAAACAGTTTTCATCTGTTGTAAATGATCTTATAAATCATTTAAATTCATGATAGTTCTTTTTAAACCTGTCAAAGAATAGAACTACACAGACAAATATCCAAACTTAAAGGACTTCATTACACAGGACTTCTCACTATTCATTTTTCAACCTATCCGTTTCTACTTAAGTAGCCTGAAAATATTCCAAAGGGCCTTGCTCTGGGTTATAACGTGGAAAACCCTACTTCCAGGGGCCTGTCATCCCAAAGCTACCCACAGTCAACGCAGGGCTCAGGCAAAGCATACATCATTCACAACAGAATAAATTTGCCCATTGGCCAGATTGAATATTGGAAAACACTAAACTCAACACTTCTAGAAGGACATGGCTCTTCAGAATTAAAAAGATACTGACACATTTCAGAATTTTCCCCTGGGGGAAAAGGAAAACATGAGGACGGAAACCTTTTACCGAAAACCTCCAATATTACTTCCTGATCGTGCAAAAGTGGAATCACCGCAAGCCTAATCCCGGCTCAACAACATTTGTCACGTTTCGGGAAGGAAAAAACAAAACCCTCCCTTTCGGGTCGATTTCTGGCTGCACACAAAGCGTGCTGTCAATGCAATACTTCTCGGTCCGGGCTCCCCGGAGGCGCTCCGACAAAGTACCCGGTACGTAACCACCGCGGCAATAACGCAGGCCTCTCCCCCCGCAGCCCCGCTCCAATTGGGAGCTGGCCTCGCCATGATAGCTGGTCGAGGTGGCCCACCCCTACCGAGCCCCAACCTCTAGTCACCTTTTTCATCAATGCCCCGCAGCAGCCTGGCTTCCCGGGCCCCCCGGGGGCCTCCCGGGCGCCCACAGATCCGGCCGGGCTGGGCAGCCCCGGGCCCTGAGCGCCGGCTATAGCGAGGCCGCGACGCCGGTGTGGTGCTCCTGCCTGGGATACAGTCACCGAGCAAAGCTCGCCCCGGCACGTTTCCTCAGCGGCCGGGGTGAGGCTAGTTGGCTGCAGGCGCCGGTGGTGCCACAGCTCAGCCTCCTTGGAGACCCTGCCCGCCGCGCTCAGCAGCAGTTCCGGCTACGGCGGCCGGCAGAGACCGCAGGGGCGGTGCGCGGGGCGGGGCCTGGCTGCGGGTGCGCGGACTGAGGAGGGGCGACGCGCACGGGGACGAGCACGCCCGAAGTTTTCAGCGAACGTCTCCCTCGAGGGGCACTCCCATTGGCCAACAGCGGGCGCGCGCTCTTGGACGCACAGACGCTGGGCGGAGGCGGGAGGAGGGTCTGCGACGCGGGTAATGTTGTGACACCACCTCGCGGTCTTGCAAGCTCGTGCGTCGCTCCGTATTGGTGAACCGACAGCCAATAGAGCCAGCGCCTGGGCTGTGATTGGCCGGGGCAGTGTTGACGGATGCGTGAGAAGAAACACAGCCTCAGCTCCAAATCTTGAATCCCGCGCGAAAGGAAAAGTGTTGGAAGTGTAACTTGAGGCAGATAACAGCCTTTATTGAATGTGTGCTTTTGAATTTCTTTCGCGTAGCGGGTGGTGCTGCGCTCTTAGGCCCTTTTTCTTCGTTAGGGAGATAAAAGAGTGTTTTTTAAATTCTAGTGTTTATGGGAGGAAGAGTGAAGATGTGTTTAAGGATACTAACTTGTAGGAAGTAGTAAATAAGCCATAGAGATCTGATACACAGCATAATGAATATAGAAAATAATATTGTACATCGTACAATATTATAAGCTACATGGGCAATCATATTACAATATATAAATGTACCCAAGCAACACGCTGTATACTTTAAACTTAGAAAATGTATGTCAACTTTATTCAATAAAAATTTCTAGTGTTTATGAAAATGAAGTTTTAACAATAGACTCTTCTTTATAGAATGTGATCCGGAACCAATTCGATCTCATCCAGTAATATCTACATTTTCCTCTTTAAATTTTCATTTAACAATGTGGACCTTTTTGCTGTAGAAACTATTTTTTTTTTAATGACATGACACCACTTTTTTTTTACAGTAGAAAAGTTTTATTAGAAGAGAAAGGACACTTCCAGACGTGGAAGCAGACATGAGCAAGAGAAGCGTGGTTCAAAAAGCTCACTGCTTTGTTTTTCAAAGCTAATTTCAAAGTTAGTTTAACCACACCTGACCACAAGGTCAGAGCGCATGTTGCTAAAGCCTTTGGGAATGCAGTCAGGCGCCACGAATCAGGTTGGTTTCTAATCTGATGAACCCATATCGTTGGTTACCATTTTCTAGCCAGAGGCGTCCACATGCGCCCCCCTCCCCGCCCCCAAGCATTGAACGCATGTCATATTACCTAAAAACTTCAAGGATCAATTGGAGGAGTTTGAACCAAGTCCTCCTTGAGACCAAAGCACAGCCTGGAAACGGTACGGGGTCCAGAAGACCCAGCAGCAATAAGATTAGTCAAAGACTCTTAGAGAAGATGGCGTTCCGTTTCTCTCCCAGTCTCTGCTGCCTTCCTCCACCTCCCGCCCGACCTAGTGGTTGGCAAGGTGTAACTACGGGAGCGAGTCCCAAGAGGCTTTGCATCGCCATCACCCCTAGAAGAATTTCGCTAGCTTCACTTCTCTGCCCAGAACGGCATCAGGCCTCTTGGCCCCGTTTCCGAGCTACCATTGTTGATTCTTAACCGTGGCTGCGATGGGGAGAAACTGCGCTGCAGGACCTTGGAACTCGCCGCGGGAGGGAACCCGCAGGAAAATCTTGCGCTCCTCGCCGCAGGGACGTTCCCGATCGTCTTCGACTTTTTCCGGCCTCTCGAGAAGCTTCGGAGGCCTTCGGCGTCCGCCTAGCTCACCTTCGGTTGTTTCCGTGTACTGCGAGCAGCCGTTGTCCCGGCAACGCGCGGCGGCGCAGCGACCCTGCGAAGGTGAGAGAGGTCTGGGGCTAGGGCCGCAGGAGGCCAGGTGTTAGGGGTAGGAGGCCGGGAACTCGGAGAAGAGCTACGATGTGGCAGAGCGGAGGAGGGGCTCGGGTAGTGACGGGCTGAGGAGGTGGCGGGGCGCTGGAGGAGGACGACGACCCGGCGGGGACGGGAAGGGGCTGGGATGCAGCGGGGCCCGGGAATAGGGCAACTACGAGGCGAGCCAGACCCATCCCGTGCCCTCCCAGGTTATTTTCATCCGGAAATCAAGCTTCAGCCGGTCTCCCGCGGCCCTTCACGGGTAGGTCACGGCTAGGCGGTGCGGGGCGCGGCCCCGAGCGGTCAGCGATAGATGACGGACACCTCAGACGCAGTCCAAGTCTGATTGAAGGCCGCATGGCGGTGCGAGCCCCAGAGGAGCTGACCGGGTTGGGAGGTGGGCGACGCTGGCAAAGCTACTGGTAATCCGGAGTAGGGAGAGATGAAACCACCTTTCTGCGCGGTCGGTCTTGCGGCCCAATGGAGCCTCACCGTCCCAACCAGCAATGGCTTTCTTTCATGTCTACGAGATGCAGTTCTGACCCCGCACGTCCCCAGGCCTAGGAGCTGTGGCCTAGATGGTGAGGCTTTCGAGGGTGTCCACTGATGCTTGTCCCCCTCGCCTCTCCACACAGCTCCTTTTGCCCCAAAGTTTTTCCGGTTCCCTCGCGCAGCATCTCCAATCAGTAATGCCACTTAAATTAGCCTGGGTACCACGAACCCTTTGGTTGAATGAGCTTAACACATTCTTTCTCAAAAGTTGGTCAGTGGAGGCGGTGGAGACTTTGGACGTCTGTAGCTGAGAGGAGCAAGTTGATTAAAATAAATGGAGTTTTTTT